GGAGTTCAATTTGTGTGTGAACTGCCTCAGGATTGGTCATCGAGCTGATGAGTGTAAATCCAGGCACTGCACTAAGTGTTCTAAAAAACATAACACTTTGATGCATAATCCAAAGGGGAATCAATACACAAAAGGTACTGTTCTTCAAGGAAATAACTCGACGCCTCAACAAACAGGTCAAGCTTCAGTTTCAAACCAATCATCAAATAAAATAACTCTTTTAACAAACAATACCAAACAGGAATCTAATTATGTCTTATTAGGGACGGCCAGAATAAGATTGCTGGCATCAAATGGAAGACAAATTGAATGCAGAGCAGTATTGGACTCTGGCTCTCAAATCAATCTCATAACAAACCGCCTGTCAAAAAAATTGGGCTGCAAGCCTAGGCCAACGCTTATGAGTATGGAAGGCGTAGGCGCAAATGAATCAAAAATACGTCATCAAACAATAATCCGAGTACAATCAACGTTGAACGAATTTGTAGCAGAGATGGATGCACATATCATACCAAAAATCGTTTCAGATCAGCCAATGCACTATTTAAATATCGAATCCTGGGATATTCCAAAGGAATTAACTCTCGCTGATCCAGATTTTAACAAACCTGGCCGAATAGATTGCCTGTTAGGAGCAGAGATCTTTTTCAAGTTACTTAGTGAAGGTCAAATAAAACTAGCAGGTAGTCTTCCAACACTTCAGAATTCTATTTTTGGATGGGTTGTAGCTGGCAATGTTGAAACTTTAAATTCAAGCACGGCAACTTGTGGCATGTGCACTACTAAGGAACTAGAAGAATCTATATTGAAATTCTGGGAATCAGAAGAAATTCCAGATTCAACTTCGGAACTCACAGAAGACGAATTGCGTTGTGAGTCACATTTTTTGCAACACACTTTTCGAGGAAGTGATGGCAGATTTGTTGTGAAACTCCCACCAAAGAATCATCCATCAGTGTTACCAGATACAAAAGGAATCGCTTACGAGAGGTTCAAGACAATCGAGCGCCGTTTCATTCAAAATCCTGATCTAAAGAATCAATATGTTTCATTTATGAGGGAATATGACGCATTGGGACACATGACAAAATTCAGCGGTAGCGAAATAGTATCTCCCCAATATTTCATCCCTCACCACTGTGTGCTACGTCCAGACAGCTCAACATCAAAACTGCGAGTTGTATTTGACGCATCAGTACACAAATTATCAGGGCCATCACTAAATGACATAATGTTTAATGGTCCAAAAGTTCAAGACGAACTGTTTTCGATTTTGCTCAGATTTAGAATGCACAAATATGTTTTAAAAACTGATGTGGAAAAAATGTACCGTCAAATATGGGTTAACAAAGATGATCGAAATCTGCAACTCATAATGTGGCGAGAAAATCCCACAGAACCACTTAATTATTATCAGTTGAACACAGTTACTTATGGCACAAGAGCAGCAATTTTGTCTAACAAAATTGGCGGATGAATATCAAGGAAATTATTTGTATGGCGCCACATCTTTAAAAAGGGATTTTTATGTTGACGACGGTCTAATAGGAGCTGATACCATCAACGAAGCGTTACTAATTCAACAACAATTAATAACAATTCTAGACAAGGCTGGAATCAAACTAAAACAATGGTGTGCAAACAACCCAAAACTTTTACATGGAATCGCTCCAGAAGATCAAGAAGTAAATCTCAATTTTGATTCCAAGGAAACCCAATTCACAAAGACGCTGGGTCTTTTATGGTTACCAAAGTCAGATTCATTTCGTATCAAGGTTAACATTCGAGACCATAGTCACACAACAAAACGATCTATGAGCTCCGATTTGGCACACATATATGACCCTTTGGGTCTTATTGGTCCAATCTTGGTCACCGGTAAAATCTTGTTGCAAGGAGCATGGCAGCTAAAACTAGATTGGGATGATGATCTTCCGTCAGAAATACGTAAACAATGGACATCGTATAGAGAAGATCTGGCCTTGTTGGACAATGCAACAGTTGTGAGGCACGTATTCAGCAGTCAAGGCTACAGCCATGTTGAGCTGCACGGTTTTTGTGACGCCTCAGAAAAGGCTTATGGTGCAGCAGTATACATTAGAACAGTACAAAAGGATAAAACGATAAAACTTAATCTACTATGCTCCAGATCTCGTGTAGCACCCATAAAATCTCAAACAATTCCACGACTAGAATTGTGTGCAGCGTTGCTAGCAGCAGAACTCATGGCAAGAGTTAAACTTGATTTAAGCTATCAAGACAAAGCAACTTACTTTTGGACAGATTCACAAATTGTGCTTTCCTGGATAAACAATCATCCAGGCAAATTACCCGTTTACGTTGCCTACCGAATTGTAAAAATCCTTCGGTTAACAATTCCAGAACAATGGCGTCACGTCCCGTCAAAACAAAATCCGGCAGATATCCTGTCAAGAGGGCTTAAATCGCGGGAATTTTCATCTTGCTGCATGTGGTTATATGGTCCACTATTTTTATATCAGCCAAAGCCGCTGTGGCCAGCTCCCTTCAAAAGGGAATTAATTGTTGAAGATAACACGGTGGTGCTTGCTTTATCAACACAACAACCTACTAATGAGCATGCATGGGTCTATTCGATTCATTCAAGAAATTTATTTACACATGTCCAAAAAGTTGTTGGATATGTACTTCGTTTCACAAAAAACGCACGGAAACCAAAAGAATCAAGACCAGAGACCATGCAGCTTTCACCGATGGAGCTCGACGTAGCACTTAAGATAATAATACGTCAAATCCAGGCCTCCGATTTTTCTGATCTAAGGAAAATGCTAGTTAAGGACGAATTTGTGCCAAAAACTCATAACCTCAGTTCTCTAACTCCGTTCGTAGATGAAGAAGGGGTAATACGTGTTGGTGGACGGCTAAGCTCTTCAAAACTGCAATTTGATGCCATTCATCAAATGATTTTACCTGGACACCGTGTGCAACCAGCTCGACCATTTCTCAGCACTGGAGTTGATTATTGTGGCCCAATATGGGTTCATTACAAAACAAGAGGCAAGCGTCCACAAAAGGCGTATATCGCTGTCTTTTGCTGTTTTGCAACCAAGGCCGTACACTTAGAACTTGTGACTGATCTGACCACAGATGCATTCATTGGAGCATTAAAACGCTTCATAGCAAGACGAGGACGCTGTAAAACGTTATACTGCGACAATGCGACCAACTTCGTTGGAGCGAAAAACAAGTTGCAGGAACTTACTGACGTCATCTACGCTGATCGAGCGAGAGAATCAATTGCAGGAATGTGCAGTACGAAAGGCATAGAATTTCACTTCATTCCACCAAGGTCACCACACTTCGGCGGGTTATGGGAGGCAGCAGTAAAATCTGCCAAATATTTGCTGGTCAAAAATGTTTCAACAGCATCACTTACATATGAAGAGCTTGAAACTGTCGTTATTGAAGTTGAAGCAGTGTTGAACTCGCGACCCCTTATTCCTAGCTCATCAGATGCAAACGATTTGAACGCAATCACTCCAGGTCATTTTTTAATAGGTGAAGAAATCACTTCAAGCGTTGATGTGCATGCACGTGACTCTAAAGAAAAATTACTTAAACGCTGGCAACTGGTATCAGAGCTAAAACACAGTTTTTGGCAGCGCTGGACTAAGGAGTATCTAAGCGAATTGCAACAGCGCCACAAGTGGAAGGGTCCCATCACCAACATACAGACCAATACGATGGTAATCCTTAAAGAAGACAATGTCCCAGTTCTGCAATGGCCTTTAGGACGCATCATCAAAGTTTACAAAGGCGAAGATGGTTTAGTGAGAGTTTGTGACATTCAAACAAAAAAGGGAGTATTTAAAAGACCGGTGCATAGATTAGCTCCATTATTTCCTGAAGACGATAAATTAGAAGATCCAACCTTTGGAAAAATGACTGAAAAAAAATCACCTATCAAACACCTCCAATACCGATGCCACGACATCAGCAGATGACCGAGGATACAGCATGTTGACTTGCAGCTTCCAATAATTAGAATTGATGTTGTCAATTCAAGGCGGGCAGCATGTTCACACATTATTGTTATTGTAAAATATTATTATTATTATTATTGTAAAATATTATTATTATTACTATTGTTATTATTGTACAATATTTGTAAAATTTGAACATATATGCTGATGTTAGCAATATCCAAACTTTGACTTTCCTTTGCATTATTTAATTTGGTAAAATGCAGTGGCACTGAACTTGAATATTTGCATTATATTTTTTGTTAAGTGCAGTGGCACTGAACTTTGAATATGTAACATATATCAAGGCCAGTGCATTGGCATTAATTCTTGGTTGCTAGACACAACAAAGAATTTGGTTGCATAATATATGCTGAGCTTGCACTTTGGGCAAGAAGACGGTAAAGGAAAAGAATAAAATTTAGATATTGTTATTGTAATAATTTGTAATAATTTAGTATTTAAGGAAAAATTTAATTTAATAAAATTCAGATTGAAACCAATATTCGATCTCTCACTTTCATTTCCAGAGTTTCAGTTCAAGTGCTGAAAACTCAACTTTCAATTAAAGAGTTACAGTTTAAATGCTGTCAATTCATTTCCTTAGGTGTTAATTCATTAACATTTAATTTGGTGACCCCGACGTGATTATCAGGTGAATCGCTTGATAATTCAACACGAATTTGACCTAAAGGTGTCCTACGATCACATCAACAGAGGCTTTGGTGTCAGCATCAAAAGAGGATAAAGAACACGAATTTGACATAAAGGTGTCCTACGATCACATCAATACAGGCTTTGGTGTCAGCATCAACAGAGGACAAATAAAACAACTTTAGTTTCACAAGGTGTGAAATTGGCTGTTAATCAACAAATCAACTAACTGGATAATGGGTTTCAGTTCGCTAGTGGATCGCCAAAAGGCATTGGGCGACAAAATCAAACAATTTATTGGTAATTGCAAAAAAGCTGGAAAACCTCGCAAAACTTCTCAATTCTATACAGACAAGATTCAAGAATTGCAAAGGTTGGGTGACGAATATCATGAAAATCATCAGGAAATCATGGCTTCAGTGGACAAGGTTGACGACCATGAATACTTGGTGAACAAAGAGTATCAGAGTATTCTTAAAATGATTGTCGATTACAACAAGGTTCTAGAAATTGAAGCAATAGACCTAGAAAAATCATCTTCAGCAAGCAATGGCACAACAATTGAGCAAAACAAACAGATAAATGATTGAAACATTCGGAAACTACTCCGAAATCAGAAGGCACTCATACGTGTAATTGAAAGAACGATAGAAGGAATCATGGTCAACAGGCAAGTTGAACAACCATCTACATACTATTCTATAAAGGCAGCCAGTCTTGAAGGATATATGGTCGATTTAACGGCAAATAATACAACGTTATGGGATACTACCGACGAAAGCATCATTGAGGACTACACACTGGAAATGTTTTATGAACTCGAGGAAAAGGCAGGAGCTGCCATGATCGAACTACAACAACATTTGCATAATAATCAGACAATTCGCAACTCAAGACAGACAGATTGCGAATTGCCTCTACCAAGAATATCACTACCAAAATTTGATGGAAACTGTATGCGGTGGGTGGAATTCAAGGACTTGTATATGGAATTGGTCCACAACACGGACATCAGTGACAGCAAAAAAAAAATGCATTATCTGACTACATCATTGGATAACGAGCCAAAGGGGCTAATTAGACATCTTCCAGTAGTAGGAGAAAATTACAATATAGCCTGGACTTTACTTACAAGCCGTTATGAAAATAAACGACTTCTGGTTACAACACTCCTAAATAAATTAATGGGACAATCCTCCATTAAAAGGGAGTCGGCACCAGCATTAAAATCTCTACACGATGTAAGCAAGGAATGCATACATGGTCTCAAGGCTCAAGGAGTTCCAGTCGAACATTGGGATGTTATCCTGGTACATCTATTGCTGCGCAAGCTGGATGCAGAAACTCTAACAGCTTTCGAACAAGGGCTAACAGACAACAAAAGTTTAATAACCATTGATGAATTGCTAAAATTTTTGGAACATAGATTTCAATCACTTGAGGCTAGGGGAAAAGGAGATTCATCATTCACTCGAACATGTGCTTCAGCTACAAAATTTGGTTTAAGTAAAACCTGTCCAATTTGCAACAAAGACGGTCACATGGTCTACGCTTGCAAAAAATTCGAGACGGCTAATCTATCACAACGATGGAATTGGGTTAAGGAGTTCAATTTGTGTGTGAACTGCCTCAGGATTAGTCATCGAGCTGATGAGTGTAATTCCAGGCACTGCACTAAGTGTTCTAAAAAACATAACACTTTGATGCATAATCCAAAGGGGAATCAATACACAAAAGGTACTGTTCTTCAAGGAAATAACTCAACGCCTCAACAAACAGGTCAAGCTTCAGTTTCAAACCAATCATCAAATAAAATAACCCTTTTAACAAACAATACCAATAAGGAATCTAATTATGTCCTATTAGGGACGGCCAGAATAAGATTGCTGGCATCAAACGGAAGACAAATTGAATGCAGAGCAGTATTGGACTCTGGCTCTCAAATCAATCTCATAACAAACCGCCTGTCAAAAAAATTGGGCTGCAAGCCTAGGCCAACGCTTATGAGTATGGAAGGCGTAGGCGCAAATGAATCAAAAATACGTCATCAAACAATAATCCGAGTACAATCAACGTTGAACGAATTTGTAGCAGAGATGGATGCACATATCATACCAAAAATCGTTTCAGATCAGCCAATGCACTATTTAAATATCGAATCCTGGGATATTCCAAAGGAATTAACTCTCGCTGATCCAGATTTTAACAAACCTGGCCGAATAGATTGCCTGTTAGGAGCAGAGATCTTTTTCAAGTTACTTAGTGAAGGTCAAATAAAACTAGCAGGTAGTCTTCCAACACTTCAGAATTCTATTTTTGGATGGGTTGTAGCTGGCAATGTTGAAACTTTAAATTCAAGCACGGCAACTTGTGGCATGTGCACTACTAAGGAACTAGAAGAATCTATATTGAAATTCTGGGAATCAGAAGAAATTCCAGATTCAACTTCGGAACTCACAGAAGACGAATTGCGTTGTGAGTCACATTTTTTGCAACACACTTTTCGAGGAAGTGATGGCAGATTTGTTGTGAAACTCCCACTAAAGAATCATCCATCAGTGTTACCAGATACAAAAGGAATCGCTTACGAGAGGTTCAAGACAATCGAGCGCCGTTTCATTCAAAATCCTGATCTAAAGAATCAATATGTTTCATTTATGAGGGAATATGAAGCATTGGGACACATGACAAAATTCAGCGGTAGCGAAATAGTATCTCCCCAATATTTCATCCCTCACCACTGTGTGCTACGTCCAGACAGCTCAACATCAAAACTGCGAGTTGTATTTGACGCATCAGTACACAAATTATCAGGGCCATCACTAAATGACATAATGTTTAATGGTCCAAAAGTTCAAGACGAACTGTTTTCGATTTTGCTCAGATTTAGAATGCACAAATATGTTTTAAAAACTGATGTGGAAAAAATGTACCGTCAAATATGGGTTAACAAAGATGATCGAAATCTGCAACTCATAATGTGGCGAGAAAATCCCACAGAACCACTTAATTATTATCAGTTGAACACAGTTACTTATGGCACAAGAGCAGCAATTTTGTCTAACAAAATTGGCGGATGAATATCAAGGAAATTATTTGTATGGCGCCACATCTTTAAAAAGGGATTTTTATGTTGACGACGGTCTAATAGGAGCTGATACCATCAACGAAGCGTTACTAATTCAACAACAATTAATAACAATTCTAGACAAGGCTGGAATCAAACTAAAACAATGGTGTGCAAACAACCCAAAACTTTTACATGGAATCGCTCCAGAAGATCAAGAAGTAAATCTCAATTTTGATTCCAAGGAAACCCAATTCACAAAGACGCTGGGTCTTTTATGGTTACCAAAGTCAGATTCATTTCGTATCAAGGTTAACATTCGAGACCATAGTCACACAACAAAACGATCTATGAGCTCCGATTTGGCACACATATATGACCCTTTGGGTCTTATTGGTCCAATCTTGGTCACCGGTAAAATCTTGTTGCAAGGAGCATGGCAGCTAAAACTCGATTGGGATGATGATCTTCCGTCAGAAATACGTAAACAATGGACATCGTATAGAGAAGATCTGGCCTTGTTGGACAATGCAACAGTTGTGAGGCACGTATTCAGCAGTCAAGGCTACAGCCATGTTGAGCTGCACGGTTTTTGTGACGCCTCAGAAAAGGCTTATGGTGCAGCAGTATACATTAGAACAGTACAAAAGGATAAAACGATAAAACTTAATCTACTATGCTCCAGATCTCGTGTAGCACCCATAAAATCTCAAACAATTCCACGACTAGAATTGTGTGCAGCGTTGCTAGCAGCAGAACTCATGGCAAGAGTTAAACTTGATTTAAGCTATCAAGACAAAGCAACTTACTTTTGGACAGATTCACAAATTGTGCTTTCCTGGATAAACAATCATCCAGGCAAATTACCCGTTTACGTTGCCTACCGAATTGTAAAAATCCTTCGGTTAACAATTCCAGAACAATGGCGTCACGTCCCGTCAAAACAAAATCCGGCAGATATCCTGTCAAGAGGGCTTAAATCGCGGGAATTTTCATCTTGCTGCATGTGGTTATATGGTCCACTATTTTTATATCAGCCAAAGCCGCTGTGGCCAGCTCCCTTCAAAAGGGAATTAATTGTTGAAGATAACACGGTGGTGCTTGCTTTATCAACACAACAACCTACTAATGAGCATGCATGGGTCTATTCGATTCATTCAAGAAATTTATTTACACATGTCCAAAAAGTTGTTGGATATGTACTTTGTTTCACAAAAAACGCACGGAAACCAAAAGAATCAAGACCAGAGACCATGCAGCTTTCACCGATGGAGCTCGACGTAGCACTTAAGATAATAATACGTCAAATCCAGGCCTCCGATTTTTCTGATCTAAGGAAAATGCTAGTTAAGGACGAATTTGTGCCAAAAACTCATAACCTCAGTTCTCTAACTCCGTTCGTAGATGAAGAAGGGGTAATACGTGTTGGTGGACGGCTAAGCTCTTCAAAACTGCAATTTGATGCCATTCATCAAATGATTTTACCTGGACACCGTGTGCAACCAGCTCGACCATTTCTCAGCACTGGAGTTGATTATTGTGGCCCAATATGGGTTCATTACAAAACAAGAGGCAAGCGTCCACAAAAGGCGTATATCGCTGTCTTTTGCTGTTTTGCAACCAAGGCCGTACACTTAGAACTTGTGACTGATCTGACCACAGATGCATTCATTGGAGCATTAAAACGCTTCATAGCAAGACGAGGACGCTGTAAAACGTTATACTGCGACAATGCGACCAACTTCGTTGGAGCGAAAAACAAGTTGCAGGAACTTACTGACGTCATCTACGCTGATCGAGCGAAGGAATCAATTGCAGGAATGTGCAGTACGAAAGGCATAGAATTTCACTTCATTCCACCAAGGTCACCACACTTCGGCGGGTTATGGGAGGCAGCAGTAAAATCTGCCAAATATTTGCTGGTCAAAAATGTTTCAACAGCATCACTTACATATGAAGAGCTTGAAACTGTCGTTATTGAAGTTGAAGCAGTGTTGAACTCGCGACCCCTTATTCCTAGCTCATCAGATGCAAACGATTTGAACGCAATAACTCCAGGTCATTTTTTAATAGGTGAAGAAATCACTTCAAGCGTTGATGTGCATGCACGTGACTCTAAAGAAAAATTACTTAAACGCTGGCAACTGGTATCAGAGCTAAAACACAGTTTTTGGCAGCGCTGGACTAAGGAGTATCTAAGCGAATTGCAACAGCGCCACAAGTGGAAGGGTCCCATCACCAACATACAGACCAATACGATGGTAATCCTTAAAGAAGACAATGTCCCAGTTCTGCAATGGCCTTTGGGACGCATCATCAAAGTTTACAAAGGCGAAGATGGGTTAGTGAGAGTTTGTGACATTCAAACAAAAAAGGGAGTATTTAAAAGACCGGTGCATAGATTAGCTCCATTATTTCCTGAAGACGATAAATTAGAAGATCCAACCTTTGGAAAAATGACTGAAAAAAAATCACCTATCAAACACCTCCAATACCGATGCCACGACATCAGCAGATGACCGAGGATACAGCATGTTGACTTGCAGCTTCCAATAATTAGAATTGATGTTGTCAATTCAAGGCGGGCAGCATGTTCACACATTATTGTTATTGTAAAATATTATTATTATTATTATTGTAAAATATTATTATTATTACTATTGTTATTATTGTACAATATTTGTAAAATTTGAACATATATGCTGATGTTAGCAATATCCAAACTTTGACTTTCCTTTGCATTATTTAATTTGGTAAAATGCAGTGGCACTGAACTTGAATATTTGCATTATATTTTTTGTTAAGTGCAGTGGCACTGAACTTTGAATATGTAACATATATCAAGGCCAGTGCATTGGCATTAATTCTTGGTTGCTAGACACAACAAAGAATTTGGTTGCATAACATATGCTGAGCTTGCACTTTGGGCAAGAAGACGGTAAAGGAAAAGAATAAAATTTAGATATTGTTATTGTAATAATTTGTAATAATTTAGTATTTAAGGAAAAATTTAATTTAATAAAATTCAGATTGAAACCAATATTCGATCTCTCACTTTCATTTCCAGAGTTTCAGTTCAAGTGCTGAAAATTCAACTTTCAATTAAAGAGTTACAGTTTAAGTGCTGTCAATTCATTTCCTTAGGTGTTAATTCATTAACAGTATATATTATGAATTGATTTTTTATGTGCACTTTCCCTTTCATTGATATAAGTATGTGCACTTATATCAATGAAATTTAATTAATAAATTTAAAAATTATAACAATTTATTTATAATTATTGTAAATTTCATATTAATTTTTTTAATTTTAGCATTTTCTAAAAAAAATATGTTCTTTTAATATTCATTTTTTGAAGAAAGATATATTCCAACTTTGCTGTTAATTCAAGAATGAGGATATCAACCAGAACGTTTGCATGCTCGAATTTATTTATTATTTTATACTTTGCTCGTATAGCATTAACAATAGCGAGTTCAGAAATAATAAATTTAGAAAGACAAAATGCAAATATTCATAAAATAATTACAAAAATAATAAAAAAAAAACTTTCATAGCAAGAAGTAACAAAACTTCAGAAAAATATGCGAACATAAAAAGTCAAGTACGGCTTTGGATCAGTTGGTTAAGATGCGCTGATTCAGAGCTTCACATATGGCAGGACCCGAATTCCTAGTACTTGCAATTTCAAAAAAAATTATTTACGAATAAATAAATACAAGAATTATTTCCAAGACCACTGATGATGAGTATTTGGCAATAATCGAAACAGCTATATGGTCAGCCAAAAATACAATTAATTAAAATAACATAAAAAATAAAATTTTTGTTGTTGTAGTTCACTACTGTTTAAAAAACCTCTATAAAAACAATTACAAATTAAAAACAAATGAAGCTCATGGTCGTGGTATATAAAAAAAACAAAGCGACAAAATTAATGTAGCAAATCAGACGCTTAGAAACACATGTAATTGGCATTAAATGAATGAAAAATTAAATTAAAATAAAAATGGAAATGGAAAAGAATGAATTTTTGAAATTAACGGCTGAGAAGCCGAATGAATCCCTTCGGCGTTACTTGTACAATTTAATAGAAATGGAAAGTCCAATTAATCTAGATAAATAAATCTATTTTATACTAAACAGTGTATATTTAAGATTAAAGGTCAAAATGAAAGCCTACAAATCTATGAAAAATTCATCAATGAATTATGGTAATAACAAACATGCACAGAACTCTCACGATAAGAGTATTGATAAAAAAATTCAGAAGATAAATACACAAGATAAAAATAAAAATCATTTGAATGGCAACAGCAACAGAATAATGAATAAAGAGCGTAAAACAATCGAAAACCCTGAACAAAATGCTAATTTAAAACAGTCACACAATATGAATGTTGACGATATGGAAGATTTTAAATGTATATTTGCAATTGCTTCAGAATTGTTTGACAATAATTGTGAGTACGATTTAACCGGCATAGAGAATGAATATAACAAGCAGATAGTAAAAATTATTAAAAGTTATAAACCTGAAAAATCAACTAAAATCCCTATTGAAATGAAATTAATACTAAAGGATGAAGTAGAAGTTTTCCTAAGGCCAAGACGTATATCAATTGCAGATCAAAAATTAGTAGAACAACAAACTTAAAGCTGGTTGGAGCAAAAAATCATTTAAATTTTATGAACACGAACTTTTAGCTTTCCAGCAGTTGAAGAATACTTAAATAACTGCTCCTGTTTTAAAACTGTTTGATCCAAGTGCTTTTACAGAAATTAATACCGACGCTCCAATGTACGGTTACGATACTGTTCTTTTACAAAGAGACCAGAATGACAATCGAATTCACCCTGTTCAGTTTTTGAATCTCAAAACACAAGCTCAACAAAAATTCCATTCGTATGAATTAGAAGTCCTAGCCATTATAAAAGCATTCAAGAAGTGGAGAACTTACGATTTGGGCATTAAATTTAAACAGTTGTGACGGAATGCATTTACTATGACGATGAAGAAGCACGACATGCCGCTAAGAGTATAGAGATGGGTCAGTTTTTTTAGGAACTGAATATGAATTAGAGCACAGATCCGGAACTAAAATGAGACATGTCTCTCAGCAGAGCAGCATGCATGATGATGGAAGGCGCTTTAAAATATCAAATTGTAAAGTGCTGCTAGAAGATAAACATTTTAGAGCAATTATGAAAGTTCTTGAAACATGATATTTTGTTTAAAGATCAGTCAAAAAAATGAAAGGTGACACCAATAATAACAAATTATTATACATAAATGAATTTTTTTTTTTTGTGAAGTAAAGAATTCAACTTACTTTAATACTTAATATTTAAGTAGATTAGAAGTGTACGTTTTAGACGTTTTTTGTACCCTAGCTCCAATGCAGGGAGTCTTTCTCATTTCTAAATTTGTGTGATGCAGCAGTTTAGATAAGTGGTTAACACTGCTTTTTTTGAATTGTTTTACGTATAGTACGGATATTCAGGTCTATCGTTCGCAGAATTTTTGATTGCCGCCTTTCGATAGTATTAATATTAGTCTTGCAGGTGATTCCCCATATTTCAATATCTACATTTCCAAATCGGAACAATAACAGTTTTGTAAATTAGTGGTTTGTTATCTATTGACAGTCTGGAATTTTTACCAAGGAGCCAATGTAGATCTGCAAATCTTTGATGAACTTCGAACTTTAAATTTATTAGGAGAAGTTTTATTTACCCATTAAGTACCAAATAAGTTCAAACTTGGAATTTTATGATGAAATTTTCAGAAAGGTCTTATTTTAAGTTAAAAATATTGCCTGCAAAATTAAATTTTTTTTAAAAAAGTAGTTTTCCTGAAAAATGCCGTGTGGTCAACCACACACTGGGACCCATAGTAGATTTTTCTCTCTTCCACAGTCTAAACATTTTTATGTGTGTTTTGTTTACAAATATGGTATTAAGTTGCTTTTATGGTGAAGTAAGTATCATTGTAAGTTGTATAAAGTACACGTAAGTAAAAAATTCAATGTTTTATGAGAAAGTATAAATACCTCTAATGTAAAAAATAATAGCAAATTACACAACTTAGAAAATAAAGTAAACAATATTTGATATTCCTTATAACCTAAATTATCATACATTATGTATTATAACTTTGTAATTTTTCAACTGATTTGCTTTTATTTTGAAATACTATTTAAGTAAATTAAATGTTTATAATGCAATTAGTATTAGGTTAACGATAAATATTATATTATTTAGATGTACGCTGCATTGCACACATGCACTTCACGATTCGGAAGACCGGAATTTACGTTTTTACATTTTGAGTTCCTAAAGTGTTACCATTTATTAAAATATATGCGGTTTACTGAACGCCATATTTGTAAAATTTTTCATTGATTTTTAGAACCTGAAAAAGGTAAAAACCTTTTTCAGCATCACCAACTTAACGGTGACGATAAAAAGAGCATTTCCCAAGACCTGTCAGTGTTTTAATGGTACGGAGACCGGACCGCCATTAGCCCAGGAGCCATTTCCGTAGAATGTCACTTCTACCTACTGAGGTCACAGAATGACGTTCCTGCCAGGTCACATGCAGTCTATTAGTTCCGTACACTAAATCGTTGTCCAGGAAGCACATCCGTTCCGTCATGTGCTTCAAAAACCAGTTGCGTCTACGGACTGTATAGCTGTGTCTATACAACATTATTATGTTGTAGGAATTATGTGCCGAAATTAGTCCACGATTAATTATGTTTTTATAAGTTTATTAGATAACGTAAATATATCTTAAGACTAACTTATTTTTTATTTGTGACAATTAATACAAATTCAATAATTTATGTAAACAAGGTGCTGTTATTTCTTACATAGACAAGGTGCGGTCACATTTTTTAAATAACAACTCATGAGCAACAAATTGTTTAACTTGCAATATGAACTTTTCAATATTGTTTTGCATATTGTTTTTTAATCTAAAATATTCTGTATAAAAATACACATATCTTAATTTAAAAGGTGTAAAGGCAATAGAACGTGACTTTGGTGGCATACGCGATCAATACTTGATATACGTCCAAAAACACTGCTCAACAGTATTCTTTTCGCTCGAAGGAGGTCTGTACTTTTTTTTTAACAAGTTTATGAATTGGTTCAATCGCTGAATATTTGTTGTGTCAGCCTTGATGTTATTGTTAGAGTGGTCCTAAATACCTAGCATGGCACGGTGGGTAGACCGATATACTCGCCAGTTTTGTCGTGGGGCTCTTGGCTTTCTAATTACCACCGCTAACATCAAACAAAAAAGATATCGTACCGTTATTTATTAATACTCATACAGTCTAAACCTATAAACCAGATATAATTTTTATACTTTAACTTCATTTCATCTTAATAACTACAAAAAAAATCTATAAATTGGATATAATTTTTCTAATTTTTTTTTTATTTCACTTCACCAAATTTCACTTCGTTTCCAAGCAATGCAACAATATAACATTGTTCTATAACAACCAAACAAACTTTTATGTGACTTATGGTTTCTTAAATTTGAAAAGGTACTCGTCGAACAGGATTGGAATCACATTTTTTCCATTGCAATAAATGTTTCATGTCACTCCTCTAATCACCTATACCTAATGAATTTTCTTATATAGATACTTATATCTATATCTCTATGTATTTATCTATTTGTTTGTCTGTTTTAAATTTGTTTTCACAGCAAAGTAACAAAACTCCCATAAATTGTGCGAACATAAAAGTCAAGAACGTCTATGGGTCAGTTGAATAAGGTGCGCTGAGTCCGAGCTCCAAATTTGGCAGGACCCGAGTACTGATATTAGCAGATATGACTTATGTTATGCCATGGCGAGAATGAAATCTAATGATGAACTCACCATGTTTATATCAAATCGTTAAAAACGCGAGAATAATTAAGTTTGGCATATAAGTGAAGTTTGATGTAAAAGAGCGCAGTGATTAGTTCCAAACGAACACTATATGTACAAAACATAAATCCTTCGAGTCGACTCAAATGTTTTTTTACTACAATGTGCTCGCTGAATTACTTTCACGTCTTTCAATTTTGGTGCCTATGTGGAACAATAAATTCACCATGCAAATATGTTATTGTATGCGGAAAGGAAGTTGTAAAAAGAAACACTTTAAAAATAAACACTGACACTGTATTGTGCATTGCTCCGAAACATTTTTGGATATATATAATTATTATTATTATTAAATTGTTAAATTGTTAAAATTAAATTGTTAAAAGGCACATTTCATAGAAAATGAAAATTTCTCGCTAACAATATGACAGGTATGTAAAACTCGAAAGAATTTAAAAAAATATCCACTACACTTCCATAAACACTGCATGTGAGCAGCAACCCAAAATCAATATTAGCATTGATTTCCTAGTGGACAAATTAAATCAAGAAATTCGGGGCGAGCTTTACATGTGATTTCTACAGCGATCATGCGGGAGAGGTGCTGACGGAGGAGAGATCCTCCAAATTTTTTGAGATGTTGACGGTTACATCAAGCATCTTTTTCTATTACTGTTGGCACGCTCAAATCTCTATGAAGGTTAGCATTTTTCATAAACCACGGTGCACCTGTTATCATTCTTAGGGTTTTAGATTGCAGCCTTTGCAGTTTTTTAATATTTGATGGCATCGCTGTTCCCTACACTTGAATTCCGTAACTCCATATAGGCTTTATTATCGACTTGTATAGCAGAATTTTGTATTCAAGTGGTAGCTTGGATGAAGTGCCCATAAGCCAATGCAATGAACTTAATTTTATATTTATTTGTGTCTTTTTAGCCTCTATGTGTTAGTTCCAAGTTAAACGTCTATCTAGATGTATCCCTAAATAAGGTAAGGTGCAAATCGCTCGAAGGTACTTTTTGTTCATTTATTGTAATATTGGGATAGTTTCCTGGTCTTAGAGCAAATGTTGCAAGGGTACATTTTTGTTCATTGACTTTGATACGCCATACTTATAACGATTGTTCGAGTTGGTAAACATGATCTTAAAGTATGCGTTGTGCGATTGCACTTAGTATGAGTTTTTGTGCGCACTTAGTATTACTGTATCGTCAGCAAATGTGTTTTACGAAGTTGGCATATCACTTGTATACAGTAGGTATAACAGCGGACCTAAGACACTTCCTTGAGGAACTTCTGCTTTGATAAGACAAGGTTCTGAAACAAAGTCCTTATATCTTAAACTAAATCTTGTTTTACTTAAGTAGCTTTTTAACAAAAGGTGAGTGTTAGCTGGCATGAGTGTTGTAATTTTATGTATTAAGCCTTCGTGCCATACTTTATCAAACGCTTGGGCTACATCTATAAATATAGAAGTACAGTATTGTTTATTTTCAAATGAGTTTCTAACGAATGATACAATACGATGCACTTGTTCAATTGTACAATGTTTAGCTCTGAAGCCGAATTGATGTTCCGGAATTATTTCGTTAGCTGAGAATATTGGCATAATTTTTGCTATTAGCAGCTTTTCAAATATTTTTGATAATACTGGAACGACGCTAATTGGTCTGTAAGATTCTACTTTAGTTTTGTCCTTCTCAGCTTTAGCTGTTGTTGTTATTTGTGACATTTTCCAAAGTTTGGGATAATAACCTGTCCGTAAGACAGCGTTATATAAATGCCTGAGATGTAAAATGGCACATTGTGGTAAATGTTTCACCATTGCAACTGAGATTTTATCAGGTTCTGCTGCCTTTTTCGCATTGAGATCTTTTATAATTTTAGTGATATTTTCTAATTTAAAGATAAGTGGACTGCTCGAGGGATGTAGGTTTGTTATTGGTAAAGAGGTGTTATTTGAAGCGTCATTTGGAGTAAATACATTTCTCAAGTGTTTTACAAATATGTCCCCTTTCTCAGAGTCACTTCGTGCCCATTTCTAATCTGAGAGGAGAATCATGCTGGATAGGCTGTTTGAGGTACTTTGTTGCCTTCCAAAGTGAATAGTCAGTCTGTTCATTACGTGACAAATTGTATAGAAAATAGTCTAGGGATTTTTGATGTCTTTCCGCTAGTGCATATTTAAGTTCATTAGTACATATAGCAATATATATAAAAGCAATATATATAGCAATATATATATTAGTATATATATATATATATATAAAACTTTATGTTTTGGGGATCTATGTCGTTGCCATAGTCTTCTGGGTTTCCTCTTCCGTTGTAATAATGCCGCTATTGTTTTTGTCACACCAATTTTTAGGGTTGTTTTTCCAGTTGTTATCGAAGCTACTTCAACACCCATTAAGATTAATTCAGAAAATTGGTTAACACAACCATCAATTTTATTATTCACCTTTAAAGAAGCTTGTTGAGGTATATGGCAAGAAATATATTTACGAAATTTTAACCAGTTTATATATTTTGTTAGACTTTGTGTTTGGATAGTTCTATTCTGTTGATTTTGTATTGTTATTATTGTTGGTGAGTGGCCTGATGACAGTTCAACTGATGGAAATGCGGTGATTATTGATAGTTTAATATTTTTGCTGTTCAGTTGAAATGACATCGAGATCTTCACTTTTCACAACTGCTAGAAGTTTCCGTCTTCTTGGTGTTAGCAGTCTTGAACCACAAAATGTGTGCTTGGCATTAAAATCGCCTGCAGCTAGAAATTTAGAACCGAGTGTTTTAAAAAAGTTTTGAAAGTCTAGGACTTCTATATTGTGGTTGGCTGGACAATATATTGCAGCTATTACGACATTTTTTCCATATTCATCAAATTGAATACCAGTTGATTGCAGATAATCTTTACTGAAGTCTTTTAAACAGTGTTTAAGTCTTTTTTTTATTATAAAAAAAAGCATACCTTTGGGATGCTTAGTGTCATAAAATCAGTTATTTGGAATTTTGAAATTTGAAAGTTTTTTTGAGTAAGATGTGTTTCAGACACAAGCATAATATCAATTGCATTGCTAATTAAAAAATTTTCAATTTCAAGTTTATGGTTGTTTATACCGTTTGCATTCCAATGTTATATTCTAATGGAGTTGCTCATTTCTTCATTATCAGAGCTTGCATTAGAGCACTTTGATTTTTTATAAGTTCTTGCATCGTGCTTTGCATACTACGCATAAAAAGATTAAGACTTTGAATCAGTGTATTTAGCGTTTCTTCTAAATTACCTACTGCCGGTATCGCCAATTGTTGAGATTGAGCATTTTCTCTTAATACATTTGCATAACTTTTGCCTTGAGGTATTATTACTTCTGGATTGCTTATATATTTTTGGAAGTAATTTTTGGGTGGCACAGTACTTGATTGATTTTTGGGAGTTCTGTGCTTAACTGCAACAAATACAGTACAACCCTTATAATTTGCTGTATGGTTTTTGTCACAATTCCTGCATTTTATTGCATTTACATCTTCCTTAGGTTTTGGGCATATGGAGGATTTGTGTAGATCTCCACATATTATACATATACTGGGTAAGGTGCAATAGGTTCGAGTATGGCCAAATTGTTAACAGTGAAAATATTATATTAGATCTTTCCGTTTGAAGGGTTCTTCTACTGTTATCCTTCGATATAAAAGATAACGAAGATTGTAAATTGGATGCACTTATTCTTTAGCTAGTTTTTTTGCGTTTGGCTCAAGTTCTACTTTAAATATTGGTTGAGATATTTTATTTTTATTTTTAATATTAAAGATGGACTTTGTTTCGAATCTAGCTTCTGCCAGGATTGCTTTTATATCAGATTCCAGTACGAAATGTTCTATACCTTTAATTACCACATTTAAATCTTTGCTACTTTTTAACTGATAGGTGTAGTAGCGCTTGTTATTGGCATCAAAGAAGTTTACAATTTTTTTATAGTTAAATTCGTCATTTATTTGGATTTTTGTTTTATGGACATTTCTTTCAAGAGTGGAATCACATAGAAATGTTTATCGCCGACAATGGATGTCATCTTATTTAAGAGCTCATTCGAATTTTTTCCCCTTAAGTAGATTGGAAGTGCTTTATATTTTTTGGTATTATTTCTCGCTTTCATCAGTTTATAAAATTTCAAGTCTATTTTTATTTGAGGAGGCGCGGTTTTCAACTAATTTTGTTTGTTTAGCTACTTGACTAGTTGATTTTGTCATAGGGCTGCGTTTTCGCTTTGTAACAAGAATGTATCTATCTATTCCTGTCTGAATTTTATTGCCGCTGTCTTGTTTAGCAGCATTTTGCATATTGTTTTTATCTTCAACATTGATAGACTCATGTTCGTAATTATTTCTTACGCAATTTTGCGATTTTTAATTACAAACATTTTTCTGCAAAATTTTCTCTGCTACATGTTTTTCATTGTCATTCTGATTTGCAACATTTGTTAATGGAGAATATGGCAGTAAAGATCCACATTCAGCACTCCATGAAAAAGAAAAGAAGAAGATCACTTTTACGTGCAGAAAAAGACGGCAACAAATTAGTAAATTTATTTGTTTGTATACTTACTCCCTCAATAACCTATTTATTTCCGCGCTCAGAGGGAGAACGCTGAACACTCATTGTAAGCTTTTTTTTAGTTTGGCGCAATCTGTTTGTTGTTTTTAATTTATATCGAAATTAAAAAATGAAATAATTTAAAATTCACTTCCAAGCTCCAAAACACGCAGTGGAATTTAAAGCGAATTTAAGCAAATTTTAGATTTAAATAATCGCACTTCCTCTATTTATATTATTTGAAAGCAGAGCAAACAAAAACGCGTCTAAACACTTTAACGAAAAAAAAAATAATTATACAAATACTATTTGTACATACAAAACTAAATAAAAATACATAACAATATACATAAAGTGTAAAGCATGATACAGAAGATGCTACATATCTGCACACCAAGTATATAATTTAAGTATGCGCTTTGTTATAAACTTTGAAACAAAGTATGCATACTTCATTTTGACTTATTTTCTACAGCATTCAGAACAACAGCGGAGGAAGTACACAGTGCAATATAGTAATCGAAACTGAAGGAATTGAGATGATGATAATAGCAACATATTATTTATTTCATTATAAAAAGATTTCATATATCTTAGAATTAAACATAATTTCTTATTTTAATTCTTAAAACTAAATTATTTTTAATTTAATTCTTTAAAATGTTGTATTTTAATATATTTGTTTACAAAATAATTTTTAAAATACAAAAACTTACTTAAAATGTGTTTTTAACACAAAATAATTTTTAAAATATATATATAAACTTCTTTAATAGTTGCACTTTAATAATTAAAACAATTTAATAATTACACTTTTTTAATACTTAATAAATAGCACTTTTTTCAAATTTGCTTAAATGCCCACAACTTTTTTAATTATTTTACAATTTCTTTTCCCGATCTTTGGTCGTCTGACGCTTACCAAAATTCTTAAATAATGAGAAGTATGCAGATTTAGATATACCCGAGTAGACATGTGTATAGACCTAACATATAATTGAAAAGTTTCAATATTACCGAAATTTGGTGTGTAAACTTGAATATAAACGTAGCGACGTAGCGACATATAGCATCGTAAAAATCCTACTTAAATGTTGTTAATTATATAAATAAATAAAAATACATAACCATACACGTAACTATATTCGAGAAAACACAGTCAGAAGGTTGTTCAACAGTACCACCACTCATGCCGTACAAAATGCTTGACGGTATAAGCGATGAATATTTGATGTCAGTCGAATTCGGCTCGTAATTGTATACATCTTACAATTTTATATAAATGTTAATATAATATGTAGTTTCAAAAATGTCAGAATACGATAAATGTTTGATTGGAAAATTAGTTTTAAAGGGAGATGAGCGAAGGTATTTTTGGATTCTACTTTATTTTCCAGTAACAGAATTGCAGTTTTAGTAATTGTAGTTTTTTTTTTTTAGAAAGAAGAAAAAGCGAAAGCTCCATAAAGAAAATCCGAATGATTCGAAGATTCTGAAACCCGAGATAGATTACGACGCTTCCAAACATGGTGGCTGGGCTATTTCTAAAGACTTTTCTGATCTCATTGGTGCTGTTGCTATCGAATTTCGGGAAAATAGTTATATAAAAGCATTAGAAAATGGACTCATCTCATTGGGGCTACCACATTTACATGGCGAGGGTCCCCATCCTGAAGAAATTTTTTCTGTTCTCCCAGTTAATGGTGATAAAATTTCATTTAAATCTGGTTATGGGAAATATCTAGGCATTGAAAAAGACGGAAAAATCACTGGAAGATCAGATGCTGTTGGCATAATGGAACAGTGGCAGCCACTTTTTGAAGTAGTTTTAATTAGGTTCGGTGATTAGAAAATAATGTTTTGTTTTTATAGGATGGTAAAATGTCATTCCTATCAGAGATTGGAAGCTTCATGTCAATAAATCCTGAAACCGGCGCTTGCACCGCTTCTAAAAGAAGTGTTGCTGAGAATGAGAAATTCAAACTACGTTGCAAATCTTTAAAAAATCCGGTTAAAAATTGCGAATTTAAGGGAGATTTAAATAAACTCGAAAAGGACTGTGTGTAAGGTTTCAGTAAATTCATAAAAAATTCTTTTGCAATTAGTTTTTTTGCAGTAAAAAATTCCAGAAATTTCAAAATAAGAAACTCCGAATTTGTGAAGATGGCAACGAACAGCTAGAGCGGGCTGAGGAAAACGGATCGTTCCACGAAACACTTTTAGATAGACGTGCGAAAATGAAATCTGACCGTTATTGTAAATGATTTAAATATAATAAATTCTTAATTGATTAAGCATACAAAATCAAATACGTTTTTCGTTAACTATTATATTCTAATTATGTGAATCAGTTTAAACTGATTCAATGCAGTTTGTATTTAAATAATTCATAAAAATGGATAACGCAATAAATTTTATTTACTCCGAATAGAGTAGATAATTCAGCCGAAAAACTGGCAAAAGTAGATTTTATGATTAATATTTCTAAGGCGGTTACAAACAAAATTATTTATAACGAGCATCGAACTCTTGTGATAATGTACTGAAGCAACAAAATAGTCGCATAGCCAACAAACTTAATATACGTTATAAATGTAGCTTGGAATAAAAATGCACTGCGAAATAAGTTAGAAATGCCCAAAGTGCACTTTTAAAAATTTATTAAATCATGTTTATTCGCACAGCAATTTCCCTTTGATAAGTTATAATTTAGATATTAATTAGCTATTTATACTTCATTGTTTCTCACAACTCTGCAGCGAAAATCTTGTGAAAATATGGTTTAAATACAGTAATTTTTATTTAAGAAATGTATATATATAAAAATTTAGAAACGATGATTTCCAACTGGTGAACGGGATCTAAAACGCCCTCCGCCTTGACCACCACCGCTGCGAGCACCACTACCGTAATTATTGGCACCGAATGAACGTCCACCGTCGCGTCCACCACCCCCATAACCGTCACGACGACTAAAGCTACCACCACCGTCACGTCCACCACCATAACTTCCGCCAGGACGACCACCACCGGAACCATAACCACGATCATGGTATCTACCACCACTACCTCCGCCACTGGAACGTTGGCGGTATCCACCACCACTACCACTGCGACGACCATAATCACGCCTTCCGCGATCTCCACCACCACGACGACCTTGGCGTGGACGTCCTTTAGATATCTCAACACGCAATTGCGAACCCAGAAGCTCAGTTCCATTTAAAACATCGCATGCCTTTTCAGCGTCATCTCTGTGCTCGAATTCAACAAAGGCAAAACCGGGTGGATTAAATGCAATCCATACTGAATTTAATTTTCCATATTTTGTGAATTCTCCCTCTAAATCGTCTTTTTTTATTTTATCCGTCAAATTTCCAACATAAACACGAGTTCCGCGTTGATCGCCCATCTTGAATAAACACTAATGTATAAAACGAAGTTAGAAGATCGATATTGTATGTATCCCGTTTTACTTTTACTTTTGACACATATGTATATTCGGCTTGGCATTGAAATTTTACAGAGTTGTATTACGAAAATAAATTTTAACTGCCAAACGTGCTCTGCTTGTATAAAAAGCAAAGAGCATCTTATCGGACTGGAAACTCTGTTGCGAATAAAGATGGTACTTTGAACCCTTAATATTGTCTATCTATACATCTCCACAGACTTTCATAAGGTTTTTGTTGCTGTTATATTCAAAGTAAGTTATACTAATATTTAATTAATTATGAAACATCACGAAGTGGTATAATACACATATTCCAGAATATTTTGGTACATAAATTACAACATATGAGTAGTACAGTTTTAAAAAATTACCATAATCTATGATACATACAAGAAGCTAATTTTTGTTTACAATTTTAGAAGACATCATATAACAAATGGACCAAATATTTATTTGTGAGTTAACACTAAAATTAATTTTTAAAATTCATACACTGGCTTTCACTTATATAATATTTAATATTAATAGAAATTGTAATTTCAAGTTATTATTCGGATACATATTCGGTACAAAAACAATGATTCGGGCATATGTCAGTAAGTAAGCACATCTTCGTTTTGTAAAATTATTAATTACAAAGCTTAAAACATATAAACTTTGTTTCACATTTCTTATTCTCTTTACTTACGAAAAAAATTTCACTCCTATTTTTTTATAATAAAATAAAAATAAAACATTTTTTTTATATTAATTACTATTAAATATTTATTAATATTATGTTTCCACAGGCATCAGTAGACCAGTTAATTAACTTGAGATTGTTAAGTATATTTCCGTGCTTTTTATTTACTTGAAAATATACTAAGTAAAATAAGATCAAAAACGACGAATGCAATATTGCAAATGATCGAAATTAAATATTTTTGACATATGAAACAATATGTAAACAGAAACATTTAATCAACAAATCAAAACAAGTAAATGGTAAGATTTTTCAAAATTTTTCTTTTTAATGAATAAAGTTTATAATTGATATATAAACAAGTTTGTATATTAAATATATGTTTAATATCACTATTATTTGTTATTTTTGAATAATTTGTAATTTTTTATAAATCATTGCTCACTCTTTCTTATATGCAAAAACTGCTGTATTCATTTTGTGAACAACATCATTGGTTATACGGCGTTTACATTGTGTGATTAAAAGTAGATTAAAGCAAAAATCTAGATTAAAGGAATAACCTCGTTGTTAATATTTGATATCTAATACAATATATAATATAAACGGTGGAGATTAAAAATACAGATTAACTTAATCTCGTTCTCTTAATCTCACAATATAAACGTAGTATTACACCAATGCATCTAAGTTTTACCCAATATATTTGTTTCTGGGTCAGAATTGTGTCTTAAAAGATCAAATCTTATATATAAGATTGATTGCAATGATTGCAATAAATCTTATATAGGAATGACAAAACAAAAATGATCGAAAAGGTTAAGTGAACATAAAAGTACGTGCAGACGCACTGATGATTATAAAAAAACAGCCCTATCTGAACATCATCATTCAGCTAGACATACTTTTAATTTCGAAGAAGCTTCAATTCTTGAAATTGAGAACAACTACCAAAAAAGAGTACTTGCTGAAGTCATACATATTATATTAAATCACAACCAGGTGGTGAATTTTAAAAAAGACACAGAGAATTTCAGTACTCTTTATTCAAATCTACTTGACAAATATCGATTAAAAGAAAACAAAAAGAAGAACCAAAATAATTTAACCGGTTGATATTGATTGAGATAAGTTTTAAGAGAAATAATAATAATGTACATTATATTTTTTGAATTTATAAAACAAAGACAACTATATAAGTTGTTCTAAAACTCTTTTTGACATAACAAAATAGATTATATATTTCCATTATACGTATTTTGCTTCTATGTTTATATTTGTCAGTTTTCCAACATATGTGATGTTAAAAATAAAAATAATTATTGTTTTATTTAATATTTGTGCTTTCAATAGTGTCATTATAAATATATGTTAATTTACGTATATATTGTTTTAATTTTCATAAACCTTAAGTTAAGCTTTTTATTAAAAAATTAAGGTATTATTTTAATTGTAATGTGTAAATTTAATAAGTTTTAATTGGTAATGTTTTTTGTATAATTATTACAGCACTGAGGATGTTCTAAAATAAAGAACGAAATATCTGCTTCAACATTTTAAAATAAAAGCGTTTTATTGTGGTTTGTCTGATAGCTGAAAAATTTTATTTTAAAAATTAAAAGATCAAAACATGCGTTATTACATTAATTACAAATCACATTAATTTTAACTAAGTTTCTAACTTATGCAGAATGTACAAACAACAAATACCTTTAACAAAGTTAAAGGAATTTATGAGTACGCTTCAAAAGAAGTTTTCGGCAAAAACTTTTTTATTACTCGTTTTTATAAATTCTTGTACCAATTTATATCAGAAAAAGATAAACAACTAGTAACCCCGGGCAGACGTTATCCTGCCATAGATTGACTTCTATTTTTAGTAAACTGCATTTTGTTTAGACTGCCTGTTAAATGACGGTTTTTAGTGATCCAGCATGGTGATAAATTTACCCTTGTACTTTAAATGTTGGCAAATAATTTGAGCTAACGATATTCGTTGCTCCGAACGATGTCATTTGAAAGCATGAATTGTACTTGCGTACATTTTTCAAAAAATTTAATGAGTGACTTGTTTCACCTGATACTGAAGTTAATAATGGTTCAGGTGGTGAACCTGTACAGCACATAACTGGTGTTTCACTACAATACGTACACTTTTTATACATTTTTCCAACAATTACACTTGGATAGAGACTGTAATTGTAAAGGGAATTGTAATTGAAACCACATAAATTCAAATAAAAAAAATTTGAAGAAATTATTTATTTATTATATTTGAAATTTGAAATATTTGAAATATTGATGACACACAAAATACAAAAAGAGAATCAGTATCACTCAAACTGTCAAATTGTCAACAGTTTAAAACAGAAATTTATAAATTTATTATTTATGTAAAAATTAGTAGAATTCTGCTATATAATAATGCCTTTTGAATGAGTTAATTTCTTTATGTTAATCACAATAAATCATTACTGGAATAATTTTTGGAAATAACAGTGTTTTCTAGCAATATTGCTAACTTGACACTATTTTTATTTTCAATAAAAATATTATAAAAGTAAATTTTCATGAAATAATTTTCTGCATATTCTCAAAAATTAGAGTCTCCCTTCTTTATAAGATCTTCCCTGATTTCTCGGAAATATAATTATAAAAGTGCATTGAATATCATTGGGTGGCTGTGCACACAATTAAATTAGTATTAGTTTGAGTATTAAATATAGGTCTTGACGCTTAAGTAACACTTAAGCGTTCTTCTTAAGTAAATTCTTCTTTAAATAGAAGAATTTTCCTGTGAAAAATTGAATTTGCTACACAAACTTTACTCTTACATTTTATTTCAAGTAAATGTTACCCAATTATTTATGGTATTTTCTAAACTAGGTATATGTTGTTTAATGTTGCGGAAAATAATTTAGAAGAGTTTTATTTGTTAAAAGCAATAGATATCTATTTTAAGTTTAAATAAAATAAATAAACATTTTCGAACTGAATTCTGCTTATTGATAATGTTTTCCTTCTAAACATGTTATTAAAGTAAATATATTTGTAAATTGGGTATATTATCTAACAAGATTTAAACTTACTATATATGACATAATTAAATATAACTTCTTTATTATTACATAAAATTCACATATCAATGCATATAATTTTCACATTGAAAACTAGAAGGCATTAAATTTTATAATAGTAATTTAGTATTACACTTATCAATAGTGATATATTAGTCTATTTTATTTATTTTCAGAAAAAAAACCAAGTATATAGCCCTGTTCACTTCAAGAAAGATAACCATCCATAATTTATTTGATATTTATTATTTTTCGTTGGAAATTATTTTTCGAAATTAAATGGATTTTTAACAAATGCAAACTAATATTAATTTTAAACTTAAGTTTTTCTTGCCGAGTGGGACACGTCTTTATGATGAAAGAAGCTATATAAAAGTTAGACGAATTCGAATAGCAAAAAAAAGACGGATAAAAATTTATTTAATTTATTGAAATTTGGATGACGCTGTTTCCAGTATAGCGAAGTACTCATCATCAGTGCCCTTAGGAAATATTCAAATTTCTTAATTAGTTTATAGTCCGTGTATAATTTGTTTGGACTACAAGTGCCTGGCTTAGACCTCGTGCCTGTCAAATTAGAAGCGATGACTAATCGTGTTTATCCACAAGAAACCAAGTCTGCACAAACTTTCAATGCTCAAGTTCCAGGTGTTTTTTGTCGCGTTTTATTAATTATTGACACTAACCAAAGCACTTGCCGTGCTTTTAAATTAGAACGAGCGTATAAACTACACAGCTTTATTTGGAATCACAAGTTCAACGAATTAAAAGTTAATTTTAGGCAATTTTTGTTTCAAAACTGTTCTTTTGTAGAGACATCTGTTATGCATATTTTTTACTTACTATATGTAAAGAAAGAAGCTATGCAAATGTTTCTCTACAAGTTCGGTAATCCCGATAAGAAAAAGCTGAACAATATTATTGTTCATATATCCTATAATTAAAATTTTTAAAGTTAATTCTTTCTTGCCGAGAGTGACGGTCTGTATGCACGGCCACCCCAAGATGGTGAATGTGTTTTCATAACTGAACAATGCTCGATTTTTGAAAATTATATAAACGACTTTATTGGCAGTGTTGTATTGCTGGAACTATCAAAAATTTCAATTATGTGGTCAATTTACCGCTTTCTTTGTATCTTTCTTATTTTACGATTTTTCTCCGTTATCATGAATATGGCCTAAAAAAATGTGTACTATTTTTTAAATTCAAATACGAAATACATTTGAACATGAAATGTTCACCAATAACTGTTTTGATTCATTCCTTTTATAAATATTTATATAAAAAAACTTTTTTTATAAAATTATCCGCAAGTATTTTTGTTTTTACATGTATTTATTAACCACAAATTTGATAAAAAATTTTTACTTGTCATATTTTCACTGATTTAGGCAGTGATGTCAAATTATTCTTACTCAATCAGAACTATTCAAACATTCATGTCAAAAGAATACACCTATAGTTAAAAATATTTACGTCGCACTAAAATTTAAGACGTGAACATTTTTACGTGCAAAACCTAACTCTTAAGATTTTAAGAGAATTGTTGTTGCTTCACATGTTTTCTTTCGCAAGTATTTTTTTGCTCCTCTGAAAGAAAAAATTATAGTTTTTGTACATTCCGTAACGATTTTGTATGATTTGGCAGCATTCTTTTTGTCTCCGTCCAGATCGTTTAAAGCTTTCACCTTATTTCGATTTGTTTTGAACAATTAAAACAAAGTAAAGAAAGGCAAAAGCCTTTGTACTTATTTTTCTTTTTGGCGTGAGCGTTCAATGCCGATTTAAATTTAAAAAAATAATGAAATTACATATTATTTAGTTTTTTACGTAAAAGTATTAAAATAAACAAAAAAAAAAATAATAATACAAATGGATGACGGACGAATAAAAAAAATAAATGATTCAACAACACAAAAGACTCGTGGACACCAGATTAGGATAGCTATATATAAAATTATTACTTCATTTTAATATACATTATTTTTATAGGCCTACACAACATGTGAAAATACAACCTTGCCTTTTGAAAATAATTTCGTATAGCTTATGGTTGTAATTTTTCCTGTCTGGGAAATTGAAGTGATTTTGTAGCATCTAAATGCTACAAAATCGGTTGCTCCGAGTTGCATACCGATTTCTTTACCCTTAGCTTGAATAATTGGGCCAGATATCGGAATGTTTCGATTTCTTACATTACGAAACCAGTCGAAACAGATTTGATCTGTTTTTGTTGTTGTCTATATATTGTCTGCGTTCATAAAGCACGTCTTTGTATTAAAATTGTAACTAAATAAAATATTTTCTTTATTACCATCTATAAGTTTTCTTTGATTTCTCCCTACCATTCAAATGTTTACAATTCAACAAGCCAAAACTGTATAGAAAGTATACGAATGTGAAAAATGCAACACCTTTTATATGGGGAGTCCCCAACATCCATTAATTCTGATTGCCTTAAAATTTTTGAAGTCTTCATTATTTATTTTGTCCGTTATTATGGAGTTCACATCCTTAGTTCAGCAGAAATTCTCTGCCTGCGTCCGGGTTAGAGGAGTGTCCGCTAAAAAGAGTTTAAGTAATTTTGAACAATAATAACAAAATTTGGTTTCAGAAATATTGTCCACTTAAGAGAGGTGTCCGCTTAACAGGGTGTCCGCTAGGATATATATTATATTTGATATATAAACTCATTCATATATTTTTATATAAAAATTATATATTTATAAAATCAAATTTCTGAAAAATTCTTACCTCTTGTTTGTTTTGATTTGTTTATTATTTGTTTGTGCTTACATTTATACTGGTTTATATTGGTTTTGCCTAAACTTAAAAAGAAATGTGGAGATGCACACACTTTCAATTTGCTACAAAAAATAACCCCTATGAGAAAAAACTCATAGGGGCTGTAAAACAGTTAGTTTATTATTATATTTTGTTATAATAATTGTTAAAATTATACACCTTTTCTTTACACTGGAAAGTGTAAGAATTAGATCAGCATTTTTTCTTCAAAACGTATTAAAATTGTAGTAAATTGCTGCTAATTCTGACATTTATTACTAGAAAATACTGAAAATACTGCCAAGTCAGGTACAGATGGCCTCGGCTCCCATGACAGAATTTGAACCGACATATATTTTATAATATAACAGCTACAATTTTGCTTATAACTTGCTCGTGACACTACATAACATGGGTCTTACTATATTTTCAAATAAATTAAAATACACGTAAGCTCTTTGTACGATTAATGAAGTTTACTTTATAATTTCGAGTAAGTTAACTCGTCTAACGAATCCAGTGGAAACATACTACCATATATGATCTAAATATGAAAGTAAATTAGTAAATAAGTAATATTCAGAAAAAGGCGGAAAATCCATTATTTAACATTTACAGAAGATTAGAGTGTTGTAACTGGCAATAATTACAAAGTTTTTGTTTTTATATAAATCTTATTAATACTATAAATATAAAAAAAAATAAATAAACAAATTATTAACACACTTATGTCAGAATTAGTTCAGGAAGAAAGTTATATTTAATATTTCTGAATATTGTTAATATTACATGAAATTTTTTTTCGATAAACAAATAGAAATTTAAAGTACCTTAAAAACATTTCAACAAAATTGAACACTAAATTATGTAAAAAATATTAAAATATGGTATATTTACAAAATTTAATTTTACAGATTTCGTTGTTCGATTTGCCTTATACGAAAAAACACATTAAGGTAAAGACAAGTATTTGTTTTTAACTATATTATTAAATATTTTAATATTATTTAATTTGTTATGTATTCATTATATTACTTTAATATTTAATAAAAAATTGCTTTATATACCAAATAAAAATACTTAATCACATTTACTAGTTATATTTATTTTACAAAAAGGATACTTATTGATTTGTAAAAAATATTCATTTAAAACATCCTCAATATTGAACAAAGTGTTTTTAAAACTCACAAATATACTAAGGCTCAGTTTCCGTTGCTGTTATATATAGATGTATCATGTAATATATTTCATCGTTTAACATAAAAATGTAAATTATTTTGCGCTTTTTTGCCAAAAGAAACATTAAAATTACAAAGATCAGTCGAAGAAAATGTTTATTAATAGGTTACAAAATATGCTTTCATACTAAGTTTAGATAAGAAGGTTTAGTTTATGAAAAATAAAAAATTTGGACACAAATAAGATCGTTTGCAAAACTGTTTAAAAACGATAGCTATTATAATATCCGAACCTATTTCCGTAAAAGAAATATAAGGTGTCAATTTTTACCATATTTACTGGGCTATGTGTGAATTTTAAATGAACCATTATTGAAATATTAGGCGTTTTCGGTGGCTCGCAAGTGTGGCAAAAAATGCATGGTGGCCTATATTCGCTAAGCGAACCGTTGGCATCACTATTTAATCTGTCAAGTGTTATTTTTTGACAATTAGCAAAAATAGCATAATGCAAGCAAATTACATTTTGTATAAAAATATATGATTAATATAGATTGAAAATTAAAATGAATACAGAATTTAAAGGAATGGTAAACATATTGGACATTTCAAAATAAAAGACAAATTTATTCTTTTTTTCCAATTTTCAAATTAATGAAATTTTTGAATTTTGATTGAATTTTTGTTTACATATAATTTTTGATATATGATTGCAATATTCGTTGTAATTTTCGATGAAGGTTCACAATAGTTCACTTATTGCATTGGTAACACTTTTTTTTTACTGGCCGATGTGCTTGGCTAGTATAACTATACTGGCCGGGGTAGAAAAAATAGTGTTGTTGTTTTGCGTACATTTCGGTCAGTATAGGCCAGCAACTTGCTGTTTTTCGCCATACTTACGAACCACTATTGAAGGCTTTTGATTGCTTCTTTTCATAGGGTTGACAATCCCAGTAGGTTTTATTGATTTTACAAATTATAAGCATATTTAATTTTATAAATTGTAAGTTGCCTGTACATATATTATAATTTATTTTATTTCCATTTTTTCGAAATCGATAAATACGTTTTCGAAAAAAAAAATTGAATTTCAATATACTTGATTATAATTATTTTTATTCTTTAATAAAAAACAAAGAAGAAGTAGATACAAAAACATCGTACGATGAGATGAAACAACATACGATGTTTAATTGTACAATAACAAAAGGGCAAGTAACAATGGTCACAATTGTTGTGATTTTTACTTAGCGAGTAATTTTACTTTAGTAAATGTAAGAGATATATCATTTTAAAAGTAGTATTTGTGCATTTAGTTTAAACAATTTCAATGCCTTTGTTGAATTTAAGCCGATTTTCGTGAGATGTTCTATTGTATTATATTATGTTAGGAAATGCATAAACGTGCTTTATTTTAATAAGCTATTTTAGCTAATTCTTGTAGTTTAATATTAACATATTTTAATTTATACTTTGTTGGCATTGACTTATAATATTTAAATATTAATATAAAATTTATTTACAATTTACCAATTTATCAGTCTGCGTAACTTAATCAACTAATAGGATGTCAAATTAATAATAATACAGAGTATTTACACCACCGTGTTCTTTGTTTATAACTATTTAAACATTTTTTATATATTATAATTTCAATAATATTATATTGTTAATAATCTATAAATACTAAATTTTAGATAAAATGTATTTGTAAATTTATTAAAACATTCATAACTACTTATAGGCCTGAGAAGTCGCCTATGTTACGACCTCTGACTGGTATTGATTTCGCAGATTTTAGCTGGAAAAGTGTTAGAACTAGTTAGTGATAAATTTGATTCGTTGTTGGAAAGTTTATGTATGGAACTTATAGTGGCATTTTTACTGTCAACGTCTGATACATTATTTTCTGCAGTGCCCTTGGTGGTACTACAGTTGCATTCAATACTGCTGTTTGAGTTACTTTTCGCTTTATTTAAATGAACAGTATTATGTTCATAGTCGAGTTTTTTGCATGAACATTTATTTTGTTCATAATTTCTGAAAATGTTATTGATGTCATAGTTTTCGTAATCAATACTATAGTACGCTGGAGTATTGCTTTGATATTTTATTTGGGTAGCATTAATTTGATAGTTACTTCCTAAATATGTAGGTAAATCATATTCGTGATTAATCTTTTGAAAAATTAAGGTTTTCGGAATGTCAATACTTTTTTCATCTCGGTGGTTTAATTGGATACATTTTTTTTTAGAGTAGTTGCTGGAGCAATTATGTATCGTTGCATAATTATTACAATAATTGTACGCCCGACTTTCATCAGAATTAATAGCATTATAGTCGTTTGTTGAACGGTAAATATTTGACTTCTGTGGAGTTATGGACTTTGTAGAACATTTGACTCGGCTAAGTGGTAACGCTAATCTTAATTTCTGCCAAAATTTTTTATCATCCCATTCAATACATGTACTAATACGAAGATAATATCGCATTTCATCGTCAATATCCCGCTGTGGCAAGTCTCCGTAGAGTATAAATAATAAACGAATTTTGTTTTTGACTATTTCATGAAGAGCGCTTTTGAATTCCAAACGTCTCCATTCATTATATAAAAAATTTTTAGACAATATCAGGACACATCGCTTAGCATTGCTCACTGCTTCAATTATAATGTCACTTACATAGGAATTAACATTTAAATCGCGATAATGTAAACACAAGCGACAACAGAATTCATTTTCAAGGGATTTAGCGATGATTTGATTAACGAAATGTTTGTCGTGAAAGCTATATGCAAAATAAGCATCGTTGGGTTGATTTTTATTTGTATTTCTATTGTTATTACTTTTAATTACATCACAAATACTCACGAAAGATTTTGATAAATACCACATTTTTAACTGATGGCGATAAAAACAAAACGTGAGAAATCCTGAAAGTATCACAAATGTAGTAACTAAAATAAATAACGATGGTATATAGCTTTTAATTTCATTATCACGCATGACAGTGGTCACTCCTTCCCGCAATGTACACCTCGTGCTGTTTTTTTCGTGAAAGTCACTTGTTTCATTATTGTTAACACAAGATACTAAGGAACCATCAACAATTTTTTTAATATTTTCTGTTAAATACAAGCGTAAGTTCATTACAAAATGACACTGGCACGACCAATAATTTTTAGCTATATTTATTTTTATCAAGTTAGGATTCAAGGACAACTGCCATATTTCAAAATTAATTAATCGATTACTATCTAGTCGTATAACCTCTAGTTTATGCAATGTTCTGAAACAACCGAGGTCTATTGAAGATATTTCATTGTTTTGTAAATACAGTTCGCGTAGATTTTCCAAATTATTAAACTCATTATGCAATGATGTTATTAAATTATTTTCTAAATGTAATATCATTAAACGTTTTAAACCACTAAAAGTAGTGTTATATATAATCTGAACGCTTGAATGATTTAAAAATAATACCGCCAAATTTTTTCGTCCAAGAAAGGTGTGACTCTGTAGTTCGTAAAGGCTGTTCCCATCAACATATAACTCAGTTGTATCCATTGGCACTTTTGTAGGTATATTTAAATAACCAGCACTGGAACATTCAACAATATTTGTGTTCCAAGTTTGATCATGAAAACAAGTACAATTGGAAGGGCATGTCATTTCACAGTCACAAGCATCAAATTCACAACAATGACATACGGTAAAGCAATGTGCTTTGTAAGCACATAAAAAGTGTTTGGGTTCTGCTTTAATTAATGGAATAAAACCTCGTTCCCTGCTGTTTAATAATTTACAGTAAATAGATTGAAGATCCATTATTCGAGGGTATTGACGTGATTTAATATTATTTATCTTCTGAAGCCAATCAATATTACAATCACAAGTATAAGGATTTCCACCAATATAAAATTCCGGAAGTTCTCTTTTGTCATCTTGTAAAACAATTCGCAGTGATTTAATGTCTAATGTAGTTATTTGATTTGCATACAAATCAACTCGAGTTAAGTTTGACTTATTGATAAAAGAATTTGGATCGACTGTGTGTATTAAGTTATCATTTAAAAATAGCAGCTCAATTGAACTAGGAATTGATGAAGGTGATATATGCTTAATTTGGTTAAAACTTGCATCGAATGTTTGCAGCTGAATTACCTTTTCTAGTCCAAAGCGATTGCTTAATTCATTAAGGCGATTCTTTCGTAACTCGAGCCAAAGCAATGTAGTTGGGATATACGAATAATCGAAATAATCTAAACAATTTTCTGAAATATTTAACCACAGTAAGCTTTTTATGTTATTGAACAAGCTTTTGATGTCACAAATATAGTTCCCATCTAATCGAATTGCTTGAATACTTTGAGTTGATTTAAATACACCTGGCTCAATGTAGGATAATCTATTTCGGGCCAAATTAAGTATTTGCAAACGCGAAAGTCCATCAAAAGTATTAAGAGTTATGTTCTGTATTAAATTTCCAATTAGTCTTAAGCCATAAAGATTTTGTAATCCTTGAAAATCCTTGTCATTTAAGTTTGATATAAAATTTTCTCCCAAATCTAATGTCCGCAGAAGGCTCATGTTCTTTAATGCCGCGGGTATCAATTTTAATTGATTTCCACTGAGGTTAAGATCTTGCAAAGAACTACTACAGTTTCGAAAAGCGTCTATATGAAGTCCGATTAATTTATTATTATCCAAAGAAAGCAATGACAAAACATGAAGTCCATTTAATGCATAAGCGTCCAAATATTTTAGTCTGTTGTACGATAAAAGCAACGTATGTAAATTGTTCATTGGTACAAATGTGTTTATAATAAAATTTTCTATTTGATTATAACACAAGTTAAGTATTTGTAAAGTGTACAAGTCTTTAAAAATTGCAGGTTGTAACTGTGAAATAAAATTGTGAGATAAATTGAGTAAAACTAGTCTAATTAAACCCGCGAAGGAATTTTGATCTATCCATGCAGATGATAGTTGATTGTGGGATAAATCCAGTGCTTGAAGTTGCTGTAGATTGTTTAATAGTTTTGGTGAAAGCACACTAATCGAATTATTTTGTAAATAAATCTCTTGAATTGATGAAGACTGTTCGGAAAAAGATTCGGTTGGTAGTGCCACTATATTATTCGAAGCCAAGTTAAGAATTTTCAAGTTTTTTAAACCACTTAGGGCTTTATCGGCGACCATTGATATTTCATTGTTGTTTAACAATAAAACACTAATTCTTCGCATAATACCGAACGCATATGCAGGCAGAAGTACAAAATTATTGAAAGAAACATCAAGCACTTCTAATTCTAAATAACATCCATGTTTAACTTGTTTATGTTCTTCCAACTTAATAGAATCTGTACTCAATTGGTCGTTATTTCTGTCTCGAAAGCCAAGTTCGTTAACATCTTGCAAGCGATTTTTACTTATATTTAGAAATGTTAATCGGTTTAATGAACAAAATGCGTTTACGGGTAAAGACCAAATATTATTTGAGGATAAATCAAGTCTTTCCAAATTTTTTGTTGCTGAAAACGTTTCTGAATCAATTTCAAAGCTAATGCTAGGCCATAAGGAATTATGTGTACGTATTATTAAATTTCGAAGATTACTTAAGCCATCAAGAAAAGTGCGATTCAGTTTTGATAATTTACAATATTTAATAGACAATTCTGTCAAATCGGTTAAATGCGAAAAACAATATGGTTCCAGCGCACTTTTCATCATGATGTCATCATTACATTGTATGATAAGAGTCACTGTCTTATCTGAAGGTACTACACTAAAGTTGGTTGTATCAAGTTCGCTGTTAATTGTTCGTAAATAACAAGTTAATACAATTTCTTTATTTGGTGTGTTTGGCCTAAGCATATAATAGCAGTCTTCAGGTACATCGTAAAACTCGTCATTTATCACCGTTGTCTCCTTAGTTCTATATTCTGGGCGGGAAAGTGTTTGCTGCAGCGGTGTGTTTGTAAAATTAGTTTGTTTCATCATTGAGATGGCACCAAGTGAATTTTTTTCCTCCTGTTGTGTGTAAACTTTACATGCGAGAGTAAACAACAAAATCCCAACAATAACTTTGCTTAATATTTTATGCTTCATTTTTTCTTTAATCTTTCATTAAATAGATGAGGTTTCATTTACATTGTTTTTTTTTTTAATATACATACATTATAGTATTGTCTTAACTATAATAATGTTATATATTCATTTTTATTTTATTTTCATTTGTAAAACTGCATTTTATTTATTATACATATTATATTCTTATTATCTATTATCTTTAGTTTTTAATATTAATTTTACGCATATGAACACTTATTGAATCTTCAAATAGAATATAAATTGCAAAGAAATTTGTTTTTTATGTCTATCATTTTAGTGACGAAATAGTTAAATCACTTTATCACTTTATGTTATTTTATATTCGTATGTATATTAGTTTTTAAGGAGCATATTTTTATTCAAATTTGGATTATTTATATTCCTACAAATGATTTTAAACTTTTCTTGTTGTTAATGTGTATGTTATATTCCGTATGAAACTGATAAATCAATCCTGCACTGTCCTATAAAACGACTAAAGAAAATAATAAGTTCAACCCTTATGTGTATACCATACCATAGAACGAGAGATACATATTGAAGCAAAAATTAAAAAAAAAAAACGCTTTTCTACGGATTTTAGTATGTTTCAGCAAACAAATTTGAGGTTTTTCTCGATTAATTAATTTCATTATTTAATTGTGTAATAAATATTATATTACCGACGAGATTATACGAATACAAAATTAATAAACTTAAAAATACTAAAAAATTTACTACCCCAATTTAATGAGAACGTTCAAGTCATACAATGTTTGTACTTCCTTATTAAGAAGATCAATTTAATTTTCTGTTAAAAACATATTTTAATTTTGAGTGTGTTTAGATATTTTCAATTTATTCAGCAACTTCTTAAAATTTTAATATTTAATCGTATTATAAATAAAATACATAAAATGAATATTTATATAACAGTTGTAAGAGGGATGTAGTTGTATATGTACATATGAAATGATTTAGCGCAGAATCAGAAATATTGACGGTTCATAAATGCTTGCTGGTTTTATACATTGCACAAATAATAGGAAAACAGCGATTGTAATTTTAAATTGATGTCAACTTAATATATCTGCTACCAAATAGTGTAAAATTCCCACCATAGCTTTTTATATTCTCGCCCGGTTTATAGCATTTCGAAATTAACTTTAAATTCTTTTTTATTATTCTTTAGCTATTATAGTCCTTTTAAAAATATTCTCTTTATTTTCAAGTATTACTTTAAATTTCAAACTTTTAGCAACTTAAATATAATATTTACATTTTCTTCCTTCAAATTCGATTGTCAACATTATTGCCTTTATTTTATTCTTTATTCGACATTTTGTCTAAAATTCAAATTACAAAATTATTATAAAAAGGAAGAACAGGTTTCATTTTTATTAAAATGTGATTTTTGGTATTTCTTAATTATTAATTTACGCCATAAGGCTTAATTTGTGCCATAAGGCTTAATTTATACCTTTGCGGTACAATTCGAGATTCAGTAATTTTATTATTTAATTATTGCTTTATTTAAAAAACATAATAATGAATTATTTTCTTATCTTATGGTTGGTACCAATAGATGATTGCCGTTTGGTGAATCTATATGATCTTCAACTGATATACCTCCGATGGAGACAATGTATTTAACTGAGCAGCCACATTGTAATAATAATGATAATCGATTTGTTGTAGAGTCTACAGCAGTTTGAGAGCAGCAACAAATCTTTACTAACTGTACCGGACTGATCGTGTGATTTCCATCAATTAACGAAACTGGAAAGTCTGGAAAGTCCTAAACATAGTGTGCTGTTTTGTACACTCTAATTTACAGTATACTAAAAAAAGTCCGAAACACTTCAAAATGTTCATGAATACAATCAGAAACAGTATACAAAATATGAAAGCGACATGTCCGAAATTCTAAAATAGCGTATTGTTTTTGACATCTCATACAAATTTTATAATGTTCGCGCTGTGTTCTTTTCCCAAATGAAGTGATTTTTTTAATGATCTTTTCAAATTTTTACCGTTCATTTCGCGAAGGAAGTGTATTGTTAGTGTCCTTCAGTGCATTTCAGGGGAAATGTTTTTAACGTGCATTGTTACTTCGTTTACATAAGAAAAAAATTTGCTTACATTTGTATTGCATGTAATTTGTTTGTGTTCTTAAATAAAGATATGTATGCATTTATTGATGTATATTTATTATTAGGATCCCAGCAGAAAAAGTGGGCTTCGAAGACATTGTCTTCGAGACGGTCTTTGATACTGTGTCCGCATGTTTAAGCAAATTTGCAAAACAATTGCTTAAAACATGAATGTAAATAGTCTCTCTTTGCATTCTCTCTCATTTGTAGTGTTCACAGCAACGTATTTGAATTTTGTTTTAGATGACGCTACGTTTTATAATGGAAGTTATAATGAAAGTAATTTTGAAGTGAATTGAATTAACATATTGTGAGATAAATAAAATCAATTTTCATTTAATATACATATGCTTTATATTTATAACAACCTATATTCTATACTTTTTTGTAAACTGTATTGATGAAAAAATCTTGTCGGGAAATGTTACAAATATTGAAACCATCTTTAGTAAAAGTATAATTCTGTCCTATAACTGCGGTGGTGTCAAAGGCAAAACATCTTTGCAAGAGTACCCGTTTTGCTGAATGCTACTTATAGATTTTTTTAATACAGCTGCTTTTTCAAAATAACAATTATTACATAAAATAAATAAAAATACAATTTCTTACAACATACAAATTTCTTTATACTTATGGTATTTAAAGAGAAAATTGAAATTTAGTTAAAATTTAAAGAGCGCAAAAAAAGGAGAAAAAATAAGACATCTTTGAAGACATTTGGCTAATTTGTTCGAAAATGTCTTCAAAGACCGTCATACATTTGGATCGATCGATCTTTATATGTGTATCCATGTCTTGAAGACGTCTTTGATGACGGATCGATCCGTTTTGCATTAGGGCGTTTATATTAATTCAATACAGACATTAAAAAATTTTTTTTTGTATTTCGGACTTGAGCAGTACACTACGATACTGTACTGTTTATTTTCGTTCTTCTTTGGTGTTAATATTCGTTGTAATTCATTTGATCTCATTCTAAACAGCTGTTTTTTCAACTTGTCTGTTGATTTGATTTTTAGTCTGTGCCAAAAAATTTTTAGATGAAGCTTAAATATACCTAACAATATAAACTGAAAACTTATTTTTAGCTTCCATTAATTTATTTTTGGGAAGTAAAAATGCTAAAAAGAGGTGCATCGTTTTCAAGAAAATGCAACCACCAAATATTTGTTTAACAGCTTTCTCAAACTGTCAAAATGCCATGAAAAGTTTTTATTTAAAGTATGTTCATTTGCATTTGGAGGACATTTGGAACTCATGCTAACCTCGTTGAAACTCATTTATACAGAACGAGATCCAATGGATCTCATTTACGCTTGAGATTTTGTATGCAAAAATGAGCCATTTGCATCTAATTTTTGATTTTTGACCATTTTTGAGCCATTTGAGACCAGTGTAAATGTCATATAACTGATTAACTTATGCTTAATAAATAAAATAAATAAATAGGCGAAAGGACGTTTAAGATATTAAAATATTAATAAACCTGAAATATGTTATTATATTAATTATCATTTCCCGATTGACGGCGAATGCCATAATCGTATAAGGATAAATTAGATACTATGTAAATGAAGTTAGGTTTTTCTTATTATTTTTCTTATAATTATTTATAATATTTATGTTTTATATATTATAAATTATTGAAAATGTTAATTTTGTAAATGTAAATATAACCTATATTTAATAAAAAGAATACTACTACTGTTGTTGTATTAATTATCATAAAACGGTTAATATATTATAAAACATTGTATGAGCGATTGTGAAAGAATTATACGACGGCATTCTCAGATTAGTGCAAATGGCTTAAATGGTTATATAATGCTAATTTCAGAAGATGTTATATTAAATGATCAATCCACAATTAAATCCTTAAATAAATCAGTAACAAACAAATGTATCGAATATAGCTTATGAAATAGCAATTGCAAATAAAATTAAATTAAATAATAATAAAAAGATAATTCAAAGAACATCTTGCCAAACGAAGAACAAGTCACATATTATATGAACATATATTGGATATTTTGCATGAATAAAATGAAAGCAACATCGTTGCTTATGGACAATCTAAATGACTGTGAGCGTCGAGTGGTAACAATTGATAAAACATAGATCATTAGTTTACATCTAAGAGTATACAATCCCTCAACAACTAACAACGAATTCAACAATCGGCTAGAAAAGTTTTGGTTTCCGTATTTTAGGATTCAAGTGGAATAATTTTCAAAGACTATTTGATAAACAATAACCACAGACTACTATTGCATGTTATTGGATCGATTAAATGAAAAAATCAAGAAAAAAACAATCACATTTTTCGAAGAAAAAAATGTTGTTTTTGCAGGATTTTGAACTTGCTCACACGTCAATGAAAACCATTGCAAAATTAAATGAATTATGGAATGCTTCCTAACCCAGCTTATTTTCCAGATTTGGCTCCCGGTGATACTATTAACAAATACTATTAACAAAAACAAACAAAAAAAAAATCTTATTTCAAAAATATTATTTAATTATTTTTATATTTATATATATTAAGTTCATACATGTCCATGTTAGCTTTTCGATTAGATATCAAAATAAAAAATTATGTGCGGTGCCAATATTAGTACTAACAAAATGCCACAGACACCAATAGAATTCTTGGGAATCGCATCTAAAATCGTATCAGATTTTGATGGTGCTCCCGAAAATTTGATAAGTTTTGTAGCATCACTGGAATTTTTTAACAGTGTCAACGATGGCAATGACGTAATTGCCATCAACCTAATACAGACAAAACTTAAAGGAACAGCAATAAATCTGATCACAGGATCAGAAACGACGATACCACAGGTAATTGAATCTCTAAAGAAGAGAGTTAAAGGCGAACCCGTCGATG